GAACACTAAAATGCCAAATGAGTATCACATAGAAAAGGTGGCAAAGCTGTGTCTGATGTAAAGGTTGGATTAGAAACATCACTTTATGTCGTGCATGATTTGTTTAGAACAAGATAAATAACTAGAAACATAAAAGATATGAGCACCCATGAAGGTCCGTACAGTGTTTCTCAAAGCTATGCCCCTCAACGCTTAAACAAATACCACAAAAGAGGTGAGAAAGATTTTGGAAAATGTGAGCAGAAACATCACGATTTCCTAAGAAATAAGAAAATGAAACATACGACCACACAAATACAACCAGAATTTCCCCCAAAAACAACCCCCTAAAGACTTTGAGTAGGAACCTCAGTCTGTGCTGTGCATGATTTGTAAAAAAAGAAAGGGAATACATTTGAAAATTAAAGATACGACCACCCATATAGGCACATCATCATTCCCAGTTATTCTATTGATTCCAAATAAAAAGAAAAAACAACACTAATCACTTAAAGGTGGGGTAGGTCATTTTGGAGAAACCGGCTCGAGTGCGCTCGAATTTGAAAATACACAACCGGAACAAATCTGCCTCTTCCTTACAGAGCCCCTCCTCCAACACACACGAACGCTCACATGACCAATGAGGGCACGAGATAAGTTTGTGCACAGATGGAAGGCTGACAGGCAGGTAGGCCATCCAGTTACTTTAGCCGGGCCGGCTCAGATGATTGGTCGTGATTTTTACAGTACTACGGCTTCCACAGATGATGCTTTTTAATGGATTTTTTGTCAAAACACTTCAGATATTCATTGCTATCGGGATGTTAAAAGCATTCCATAGAATATAACAAGAAGTGTATCTCGAGCCGGTTTCTCAAACTTACCTACCCCACCTTTAAATGCCAAATAAACACCACCAAAAGCGTTCAGAAAATATATTTAAAAAGATACCAAGTGTGTCTAATACAATTATAATGAGCACGATTTGTTAAAATAATACAAAAATTAGAATATAATCTATACGACCGCACACAAATACCCAAAAGTGATTCTATTGAGTGACAAAGCTTTCAGAAAATGTTTTTTTTAAATCCTGAGTGTGTCTATGAGAAGATTAAGAGCAAACACATCAATTTCCAGTTGCATGATTTGCTAAACAAAGGAGCGAAAAATTGAAAATAAAAACAGATGACCACTCACAAAGGACCGTTACAATAACATTTCTCCCCAAAGTTATCCTATTGATTCCACTCTTAGTCAAACAATAGCCCAATAATTTCTTAGCAAATAATCACATTGCATTCAGAAAGGCAAATTAAAGTGTCTTTTTGTTGTGTGTAAAAAGATCAATGGGCTCTATCGTGTCGTATTTCTATCACACAGGGAGAAAGAATTGAACGGAGACAAGATAAAAGCCTCCAGTGTACCGAGAAATCAAAACTCACTTAAGATGTCAATAGTGTCACAGTGAAGCGACGCCTGCATCGGAAAACAAATCCATATCCATACTTTACCAATCAGTTAATTTCATTAGGGCATTCAATGCCTTTTACTGATGGGACAGCACATTGTGTGCAAACAAAGCAAAGGTCACAAATGTAATGTTGATGTGACAGATTGTACCGCAGTGTGACCAACTGTCTGCACTCAGTGTTTGAACCACTTATCCTGGATACCAGTGCATTTACTTAAATAGAGTACTTTTTTATATATTTGTACTCAGGGATGGGTGGTTTCAACTTTTAAAATGTAATCCGTTACAATTACAAGCTACCTGGTAAAAAAAAAAGGTAATCAGTAACCTTAGTTTAAGTGTCACAATATAAAAGTAACCGGATTACTTTCCGTTATGTTTGGACTTCAAATGCGATGCAAATAAATATCAATGCTTTTTAGATACTTAGGTGTATTTTGTGAGACATCGGAACAATTTAACATTAGAAAAGAAGAAGCCAAGATAGTTAGGATCAAAAACGTTAAATGATATGTAGAGTAGTAGTTTGAAAAATGTTGTTTTATGGATTAAAAGCAAACACAGTATTTGTTTTGATACTGCCTTAAAAATGATATTTAAAATAAAGAACAATTTTTGGGTAACTGTCAGGGAATACAGTTACCCATTTTTTGTATCCTGATTATGTAATACTAATCTTCCACACAGTATTGAGTCCAGTGACCAAATAAAATACCAAAATGCTGTTTACGTGTAGAAAATACAGATTATATAACAACCATAATAATATAATACTGTGATATAATCAATTCTGCTTGATGAGTACCTTTTATTTTGATATGAAGTACATTTAGCTCATAGTAGTTGAAATTATTCTGAAATGGACCATTAAGCAGATAGAAGTACATTTAGATACTTCTGTACTTTCACTTAAGTGACATTTTGAAGTCAAGACTATAAGTGTAATGGAGTATTTTAGGGCCGAAGGATCTGAGTACTTCTTCCAACACTATGATACTAAATTCATTTACGTTTATTTTACAGCTCTTTGACATTTTCACACTGATTTTAAGTACCTTTCAGGCTCTCGTGTTGATCAGTTTCTGATGCTCTCGGTTCATGTCCAGAAGGAACGTATCACAACTTACGATTTCTTTAAGCAGCTGTGAGTGGAAATTGCTTTTTGGAGAGACATTTATGACCCCATTCAAAGGCGGACATCTGAAACACAGGAAGGAAGGAGCTGAGAAGAAGTGCCACACAGTTTGAAGAAGTCCATTTAAAACGCCTGCCACCTTTTGTGAAAGAAAAACTTGTAAACAAGGAAATAGTTAGTGTTTTTACGGCCAAGTTAATGATTTATCTATTATGTTATTTTTTATTCAAATCTATACGGAAGACGATTAGGGTCACGTGTAAAATATTTCTTTGAGTTTTGAGATTAACTTCAATTTTTAACTTTTCTCAGAAACATTTTTTTTGACTTTTTTCTGAGAATTCTGACTTTAAACTCAGAAATTTGACTTTTATCTCTGAATTCTCATTAAAAAAAATGATGATACAATTTAATCCCAGAATTATGTATATATACAAAATAAAAATGTTGTTACTTTTTTCTCAGAATTCTTATTTTAATCTCGGAATAATAATTTAAAAAAAGGAATTCACTCTTTGTCAGATCTCCAAAAAATCTTTCACATGTGGCCCTAATCCTCTTCCGTTAATCTTGGAATAAGGTGAAACATTCAATATTCCACCCATCAATACATACACTAACTACATTAGGAATGGAATGATTTTCCCAACTCCAAATATGCTGTAGATTAGAAGAAACTCTTAACTCACCCATGTCGTCACATGTAGAGCGGGAGAGGGGGGGAGGAAATGGGCTCTCCTCCTCAAGGGTGCTCAGGATTAGGGCCTGGAAGTCTGTTAGATAATAGATCAAAGAGATACACCGGAGAGCACTTCTTGCTTTTCCCACATACATCTCATCCTCATAATAGAATCTCAGGAGCTTTTTTTAGGAATTCCACCTGAAGATCAGACGACAACACTTTGGTCCTGGAATCAAACACAGCGTTGAAAAGGGTCAGCACTGACACCCTGGATCATTAGAATATAAATGCAGGTAGTGACAATGCAAGAGCATAACTTATCCCAGTTCACATGAGAAAAAAGGTCCTCTCTATGAATAGGTTACATTTTTCTCCACCCACTTGCTTCATGTCCCTGAAAAAGTAAAGGAATTTTTACTTCAATCAGTTGAGAGTATCTTCTGTCACTGGAAGATTCAAGATGTTCTTTTTCTAAATTTAGAAATATGGTAATTTATCTTACACGTAGGATTTAAATAGATATAGAAGTCATTCTTCATTCAGTTTTCAGATGGTATTTCAGTAAAGTAAAATAGAACAATTGACAAATATTCCATAAAAAGTCCTGCATTCAAAACATTACTGAACAATATAACAGTGGCCTATGATCACTAAAGTATACAATGCTTAAAATAAAAGTACGATGTTGTATCAGAATGGGCATTTGGCTGACATTTTACATGATTACTATTAATACTACGTTTTCATGTAGGCCTAAACTGTATTCTGACGTTGAAGTTAAGCAAAAGGGAGCTAATCTTTAATATCTTTGGTACATTCATCTGCAACAGCTTATAACTTCGTATAAACTGATTATATAAATTGTATGTTAAATATTAAGAGTAAAACATTCAGGAAAATATTCCTCTAATCTTCCAAAGTTAGATGAGAATAGTCCACTCTTTGCTTCATATCGGAAAAGCTACAACCAGTAGCAGGTTAGCTTAGCTTAGACTGCTAACATGCTTTGTCCAAAGGGAAATCAGCCTACCAGCACCTCTAAAGCTTAGCAGTGAACACAAATGAACATGTGTGTAAGTTTCACTTTTCTCTACAGGCCTCAGCTTCAGATTTAACCAAAAAATATATATGAGTGATATCCATTCTCCCATCTATGTCTTGACAGGTATTTCTGAAAATGACAAACTATTCCTCTTTTATATTCAACTAGTGGCCATATCTGTCAGTAGCATTTAGGAAAAGGATCTATAATGCCAACATAAATGTAATAAAATGTAAGAAGCATTGAAAAGGTAGACATCTAGAATATAAACGGAACTGAAAAAAAGGCATCAACAGGTAAAATATACACATTTTAACATGGTTAAATGGTGGTTAACACCACACCATCGCCATGAACAGGGTATGGTCTTCATATTGTCTTGTGAAATAGGCCTACCATTTCCTTTTCCGGGAGAAGTCAGTTCCCCTTGTGCGACACAAAGCGACTGCGCAGTGAGACTTCAGATGTGCAGTCGTCCATCAAATAACTTCATCTGAGTATGTGGCCACGCTGAGTCTGCATCTGACGAGCCATTAGTGCTGAGGGACGAGAAACAAATCAATGTCATCTGTCCAGAGAGACTGTTATTCAGGTGCAGCCTTCAATCTCTGCTCATACTAAGTGCTGAAGTCTGAATGTAAAAATGGCCACAATTATAGATAGCCACAAGCAAAACAGGCACTTTATTGAAAAATCTATCAAGAGAGCAACTTGACTTTTAAACGTAAGACCTTGATTTGCCATCTGATGTTTTCTCCAAATCTACTTTATAGATTCAGAATGAAAGAGAAAAAAGACTACACATACAGAATAATTTAGAGTCAATACAACACTCAATATCAGAGTAAACTTCACTTGTAGCACTCTACTGCCACCTAGTGGACAAAGCAGAGACATCCATCAAAGACATTAATTCAAATTCAAGTTGTGTCCATTTGATTCAGGCTTTATTCTTCTTTAGATTGCCTAACATTAAACTTCGTCTTAAAAAAAACCTAATAACATTGAAATAAGGTTTAGTTATATTTCGATTACTCCAATAATTCCCCTCCAACAAAGAATGTGTGAAAGTTTGTCCAAATGAATACCAAGGTTCCCACTTACGCTAAATTGTTCCTCTGTTGATATCTGATTAAAAAATATAACTGGCTATAACTTATGCTCTAAATCCTCCCTTACATGCTGAATATGAACAGTCATAAAACCACTAACACAAATAGTCCCCCTCAATTTTGCACATTGACAGATTTAGACTGATGTTTACATATCTTAAGCTACCTATCATGTCAACTTTAAGAGAATGGATCAAACATGGTAATCATTTTAACATTTAACAACCAGCTAGCATGTGATGTGTTTAACTTGGGGGGGATTTTCACAACATTTCCACACTCATAACCAAGAGCAGACTATTTTTAATGCCCCGTTTCCATAAACTACCATTTCAAAAAGGTATATAAATATGATTCTGAACATAACATAGCCTATTCAGGTGACAATGTTATTCATTTTGGGAAGCTGTGATCAATAGTTTAAAGTTAGTTGTCAGCAAAAAGGAAAATAGGAGACCGTTATAGCGCAATAAGTTTCGGATACATTTTCTCCAGTTTTCTTCAGGACGTGTGGGAACCCTGATACACTTTTTATCCTCAGAAGTTATTCAGTGTTACACATGATGACATTTTGGATTGAACTACTGCGCTATGACAACATTTAAGTTATTCTAAAAGCTGAAATAATGAAGTCCAAAGTAAGCATTATTGTTACTTTAGTGATTGATGATAAAATAGCTAGAAACAAAAATTGTTACTGTTAATGTCCCGTGACCTAAAGAGTTCTTACTGGCAAAGAAATAGCTTATAAGCAGTTAAAGTCTTCATAGTCTTAGAAAAAACTCCTCATTGTGGGAGGCCTTCCAGCGTGTGTGTGTCCGAGTAAAGTGTGTGAGAAGAGAGCTGCTCTATAGTGCTCTGCTGAGGCTGAGCGGACACTATCATTGGGACGCCGTGGATCACAACGTTCTGTCCTCCCAGGCTGATGTTCGGCACCAGTAACGCACCCTCCTCACAGTGTAAGGCACTCTCCGCCACCTTAACTGCTGGATCACACACCAAGGTGGTTGGAGTTGTAGTCGTCACCATGGCGGGTATCCCCTCTGTCACCACGGTTACCTCGGTGCCGCCCTCCTGGATCAAAGCGTTGAGGCCCTCCAGCTCCGAGCAGGTGGTGATGAAAGTCTGCGAGCTAATGGGGTCCTGAGCGCTGAGGGCGGTGTGCAGCAGCGCCTGGTGCAGCGGGTCGTTGGTCGTCAACAGGACCGTCTGGGGCTCGAGGGTGGTCTCCGAGGGCACCCCGAGAGGTTGCATAGGCGTGAGCAAGTTGACCTGATGGATCATGGAGTTCACAACCATGTCCTGGCTCTCCGGGCTTAGAAGCACCATTTTATGCTGACTCTCCACAGCAGCTGGGATTAAGGAGTTCTCTTGACTCATAGGGTGGGATACAATGATTTTGAGCTGTGCACTGCTGTAAGGAGAGTCAAGGTGGGAGTTGCTGTGTGCCGTTGTTTCAGTTTGGGTGGGGAGCTGCAGCTGCATCACACTCTGAGCGTCTCTGTGCTGCTTCTTGTGGCTCCGCAGGGAGTCTTCCCTCACGAAGGAAGCGTCGCACGAGTCACAGCAGAAAGCTCGGGCCGCTTCCAGTTTAGCCCGGTACCTGGAGCCGATTGGATTTGGAGAATCAGCTCCAGTTTTCCCTCCTCCTCCTCCTCGAACACCTTTCCCACTGCTTCCTTTCTCAGGTTTGTCCGAGTGGCACTTCTTCTTGTGGATGACCAGGTTGCTGCGCTGCTTGGTGGCGAAGCTGCAGAAGTCACATTTAAAAGGCCGCTCCTCTGAGTGGATCCTCTCGTGGACTTTGAGTGCCCCCTTGCTGGTGCAGGAGTAAGAGCATTTGGAACACTGGATGGGCTGAATGGGCTGGTGCTCTCGCGAGTGTTGCCGCAGAGCGTTCTTGCTGGCACACTGGAAATCACAGTGGCCGCAGCGGAAGGAGTTCTCGGTGCCGTGTTTGATCTGAATGTGAGATTTCAGGTTGCCTTTCATGGCACAGCGATATTCACAAAAGTCACACTTGTAAGGTTTCTCGCCCGAGTGAATCCGGATGTGCCTCTTCAGGTCGGAGTTGATTTTGAACTTTGCATCGCACTGCTGGCACTGGAAAGGTGCATCCCCTTGGAAGGAAATACAACAAATTATTCACAATGCAGTCTAAAACAAATTCTATATCATCCATCCCACAGTTTCTGTCTACCTACCCGTGTGTGAGCGGAGGTGTACGGTGAGCTGGCTGGAGTTGCGGCTGGCGTACGGACAGATCTGGCATTTGAAAGGCCGCTCGTCATAGTGGATCCGCAGGTGCTTCTTCAAACTGCTGCTGTCTGCTGCTGCGTAGGGACAGTGTTTACATTTGTGTGGCTTCTCGCCTGTGTGTGAGCGGCTGTGCATGTTGAGTTTGTCCCGCCGGCTGAAGCGCTTGTGGCACAGCTCACATTCAAAGGGCTTCTCACCTGGATGGAGGATGGAAAATTAAATGTGTGTCAATACCAGGTTTAAGTTAAGAAAGGAGAATCACATGTGCAAGGAAATGACATACCGGTGTGGGTTTTGAGGTGCCGCTCCATGTCTTTTTGTCCATACTGCGTCTTAAAAGTGCAACCTGTAAATCAAAAGTAATAGAGTTTTTTACAAGGTGAGTGTAGCCTGTGCGTCAGTGGAAAGTTAATCTAAAAGTGTCATAAATAAATAACAGTGCAGGAAGTACTGTTTCCCCTGCTTGGCAGTCGAATAAGAAGGAATGTGTTACAGTCGTAAAGAGCAAGAGGCACCGACCTGAGAAACAGCAGCTGTGTCTCTTTGAAGTCAGGGAAGGTTTTAATTTTTTGGAAGGTGTTTTCTGTGCTTTGGTCAGGATCTTTTTGACACCTCTCATAACGCAGGTCTGGTAGGTTTCCTCGAAAACAAACTCAGCACTGGAATCTGTGGAGGAAATGAATATGACAGCAGACTGTAAAGCAAGTCTGGAAGCACATTATTGGCAACAAAACCAGATCAACATTATGTATTATACCTGTGAGAGGGGCTGCTGTAGTGATGGCTGTTGTGTCAGAGGTTGGTAAAGAGCATCCATTTCGTTTATGGGCAAGAAAAACATCGAAATTATTATACTGCTGCTTGCAGAAGCCACATATATGGATGTCTGGGCTCACCTCCACAACAACAGAATGTCCTGCAACGAAAACACAGATGCATGATATTTTAACTCTGCAACAACATGACTGCAATATTACAACGCAAAATCATGACTGGTGTAGTCTACTTTGTTAGAGGTCTTCTTCACAGCTGTTTTTATTTACCTTCGGTGTGGTATGTTGCCATTTTCGAGCTTGTTTTGCTGGAGATCAACTCATCTTCAATGCATTCACGACGTCCTCCATGATGTTAAACTGTACCGGCTAGAGTGGAGATGCAGACAGCCACTATTTGAACTTTCATCATACTTCAAAACGGATTAAATTCAGCGGTTTTGGAAATCAATGGCAAAAACAGTTTACTTCTCATCTAACAACAAAATAGGTTTTACGACATCCTACTGGGGATTTACGGCAGCGGGATAAGCATGTGTTCTGTCCGGGCTACGTCACATGATGCTTTTGCACATAATGGGGAAATCATTATTTGCCCCATGAGCAGGGAAAATAACATGATAAAAGTGGTGTTTTATATTGTTACACGATTAATTTCGTTACAATGACATGTTTTTAATAAATATATAGTTTTGCTCCTTAACTTTCTTCATGATTTTCACGTATTTATATTTGTGATTTGTAAAACATATAAAGACAATTGTAAGCCTCATGTTTTCCACGTTGTATTTATGCCTATGCACATAAGCTGGATTCTGGTTGTCCTCATTATGAAAAAAAAGCATGCAAATGTATCCAATTCTTAGTTATATAAACAATTAAATCATGGAAGTAGGATATGTACAATTCTATTTACGAGTACCTGAACGCAGCATTGCCATTGTTGTGATAATTCGGGTTTAGCCGAAGTGTCACTTTAGTCCTGAAAATATTATTTCATTTTTCCAAAGAAGTACAGGAGACATACTTATATAAATCTTCAACATGTAAACAACATTTTGCTCGGAGTGAGAGACATTTGACAGTCTTTTCTGGCCATTGCAGGGTTTCTTCGTTTCTAAAAAGCCTGCAAGTTACCTTTAAGTTTACGTTACTGCCACCTGTCGTATTGGAAGTCGAATGAAAAAAGGCCCACAACGGCCTCGCTCCCATGCAAAAAAAAATTGTTTGTTGGACAATATAAATAATAGTTAATACTTACCGACCTTGTCGTAGAAGTCCAATGTTATACAACTAAATTGTTTACAGAGTAACTGCAACGTTTGCACATTTCAGTAAATAGCCTTATCCCTTGCTGTGGCACCTGCAACGACTTAAAATAATATTTCTCGTGTGAGAAGGTAAGCTTTCAATTGCTGTTAAATATACACACACACTACCATTTTTCAAGTAAGGGCAATTTACTGGGTTGTTGGGGTGAGTGAATGAGAAAGCCTCTTTTTTTTTAATGCCAGAGCAGTCTTGCTAGTGTGAATAAGCCATGAAAGTGAGTGACACACAGCTCCATTTTCAGTGGCAGGTCCTTAACTGCCTGATTGCCACTGTGAAGCTCAGGAATTTCCTTACGCTGACTTTCCTGCATGGCAAAGGCACAGGACTGATTCCTTCCCTGCTGAAACAGCAAATCCTTGAGACACACACACACACACACACACACACACACACACACACACACACACACACACACACACACACACACACCCCATGTAGTGTCTTTCAAGGCCTGCCCAAACGAATCTGACTAGTTGATTACTGCTGTCTCTGAATTTGATTCTGTCAGGATTGTCCCTGCAGATTTATATGAATGTATGGTAACAGTTGATGTCATATTAGTAGGAAAGTACTGTTTTCTTAGGGAATTTTCAAAATTGATGACTCGATCCAAATGGGAAAAAAAGACATGAAGAGGAAATAATTAAATAAATAACTTGATCTGACCGAGAAGTGTGCAAATCATAGGCACATAAATCCCCCCGCAGTGTCAGTACAGTTAAATGTGCATCAAAGACCGCTTTCACATGTGACAACCAAATGACTTGGAGATGTGTTAATTAAAGAAAGACTTATGTCATGCTCCCAGTAGTGCAGCATGCTCCCTGCTTTGATGTAGACTTCCTTTTTTTTTTTACAATCAAAAGACTTGTAAATCTGGGTTTTCACTTTTCACTCTGGCAGCTTATGAGACTTATGAGCGAGGAGTTTAGTTGTGTCATTATTAAGTCTTATTTACGAGGAAACCCACTTAGTAACGTCCCTCTGCAGTAGGGCTGCAACTATCAAAAAGGGCATTATTGATTATCATGGGAATTGAAGCCTTCAAACACTCCCTTTTAATGGCAGAGGAATACTATTTATTATATTTACTATAATGCACTGTTAATATTTATTTTCAATACTTATTAATAATGTATTTGTATTTATTTACTCTCTTATTTTCCTTTTGATGAAGGTTAGTTCTGAAGGCAAATACAAAATTAAATGAAAGAAAAAAACATTATTTTAATTGTACAACTTAAATGATAAAAGAAATTATCAGAATTGCTGGCAATTATTCTCCTGTTGATTGACTCACTTGACTTATTATTCAAACCCTAATTTACAGCAACTGCAACCTCAATTCGTTGCCTCCACTTCATGCTGCTGATTGTATTTTCTCTACACTTAAAGTGAACTCTGTCCTTTTTTTCAGAACAATAAGCTCTTTTTCATTTGTTGTACTCAGAAACAAAGTATCATTCTGACATCCTGCTGTGCCACGTCTAATTTGTAGCCTTGCTCCTTCTCCCCATTCATCGAGACGCCCAAGAATCCAGTGAGTGATGTAATGTCCCTCTTTTCCCCAATGAGACAAGGGCAACAATAGGGGGAGGGGGGGGGAGCGCCTCTGTCACATTATTTCCCCCCACAGAGGCACGCCAGCTGCTTACAGTTGCTTAATGGCTACGAGCTGTCACAAGGCATCACAGCCCGCTGCCACACAGGAGCGGCAGATGCTTTAATTGCACAATGACTTGTAGGTTGTCAACAGCAATTATACCAGGCTTCCACCTGAGGGCACCCAAAGAACACCGTCTACTCACTTCACTGGCAAAACACAGGCCTCAGAAGCCTGAGAACCTGATCTGAGTGTCCAGACAAGAGGAGCAGACACATTCTCTTCTTTAGCTTAAAGGTGACCTATCATGCAAAATGCACTTTTGTACGTCTTTTATACATGAATATGTGTCCCCGGTGTTCCAGGGAACTCACCAAGTGTCAGAAAACACAACCCTCTCTATTTTCCTCCGTACCCAAATCTCTTAAGAAGGAGCTGCAACGGATCTGATACAGATTGATCCAGATTTGAACACTTCTATAGCGTCACCGAAGTGGCGCTACGGCTATTGGGCCAACTCCACCAATCAGGAGGAGACAGCCACGGACATTGCCGTTGGAAAGCGCTGGAGAGGCTGTAGTACATATGCCAGGCCTGTAGATGGTGCTGTTCTCACAGAATCAGCCCATGCAAAGACAGTGTTAAATTGAGCGAAATTAGGAATGGCTAAAATCAGCGCCATATAGTCTATATACAGTCTATATGGCGCTGGCTAAAATCCATGATCTGTTTGGTATTTTGAAAAATAAAAAGTATAAATATGCCTTATATACAGTAGGTATGGTCCTACACTATATTATTCAAATATAGCATGATAGGTCCACTTTAATGGTTTCTCCATGTGCCGCAATAACCAGGATCGTCAGACAGCAGGCTCAGGACCCCAAAATCATATTTAGACATAAAATATTTATCTAGCTTTGTCACCTTAGGGCCCGCTGCTCACCGTGTGCTGCGGCAGGTCGTGGTGTGCAGAGTTTGAGTAATTTTGCTCATTATTAATTCATGTNACACACACACACACACACACACACCACCCACCCACCCACACACACACACACACACACACACACACACACACACACACACACACACACACACACACACACACACACACACACACACACACACACACGAGCAAGTGCAGCAGTGCCACACACAAAAGGCGCACATGCTCACACGCAAAACCAGCGCTGTGCTCTTTGTATCTGCCAACTGATGCAGATGATAGGGCTGCAGTTGAGCCACAGACTACAGGGTACATGTGGCTCTAGAGACAATAGCCGGCCAAAGAGGAGAACATACCATCCTGAGGAACAAGCTTAGATAGAAATGACGACACAATTACAACCATTTTATATAAACCATGCGTACGATTTGTTTAAAATATGTATATATTTGTTTCCTCTTGTGTTTATATACGCATCATATGCACCAAAGCAAAATCCTTGAATGTGTAAACTTACTTGGCAAGAAACCAGATTCTGATTCTGATCAAGTTTGCAGATACAGAAGCTTGCACACATGTTCACTAAATCATTTGGTTGTTAGAGGTAGAACAATTAGCTTTCTTAACTGCTAAAAAGAGTGCATTTCTATAAAAACGTAGACAACAGCAGGCCAAAGCCTTAGGAGGAGAACATACCATCCTGAGGAACATATGGGGAAACAAATGACATGATTGCAACCATTTTATATAATGATGTGTAAGACTTTGGGATATAGTTGTCCTATTTATTCCTCTTAATCTGTTTATGTATGCATCATATGCACCAAAGCAGAATCCTTGAATGTGTAAATCTACATGGCAATAAACCAGATTCTGAAACTTACAAAGTTTGCTGATGCAGAAGCTTGCACAAATGTTGATATGGCCGAAGTGACAGTTTAAATGTGATTTGTTAGAGTAGAAAAAAAGGGCTTTCTTGACTTTACTTGCTCTGGATTTTCAAGTATGTATTTGACATTTGTCAGGTAAGTAAATCAAAAAGCCAAATGTTTTTTATGCCTGTGCAACATAGGCAGGCTTCTGGCTGTCCTTATTCTGAAAGAAGCTTACATGTATCAAAGTATTTAGGTAAATGACCCAAGAGTTATATCTGCTGTGAAAAGAAGCAGCTTCGGTCAGTGTGTGTGTATTTTGCTGTAGTGTCAGCAGGGGGTGTCCAAAATCAGGCTAGAGAAAGAGACTGTGTGCGGGTTGGAAACGAGGCACTGCTCCAGATTGTAGGAGCTGACATTTTGGAACCAGTGGGTCAGCAAAATGGAGAAGACACAGAGATGTATCAAACCCAGTGAGACTTTTGATTACAGCATGTGGAATGTATTTCCTCTGGCAAAAGACGTTGTGTTTTCGGTCTTGTTGGTCTGATTTTCATCAGGATAGTGATACAACTAGAGGCCTGATTTGTATGAAACTTGGTGGAAGGGTGTATCATGTGTCAAGGAAGAACACATTAACATTTGGAGCGGATTGGTCTATCAATCAATTTCCTTTGTCCCCCTAATTACGATTGCTGGGAAGAAGGGGCGGG